CTTATGAAGTAGATAGTGTATTATACCCACTTCACAAGGGAGGAAATAGATGCTTAGAGAGATGAAGTGAGATGCCCAGGAGCACACAACTGGTATGTGATGGAGCCAATATTCAAACTCAGGTTTCCTGACTCTAGGTCCAGGAATCTCTCCCATGTCATGCTGTCTCCAGAGTTTATAGTAGGTGTCAGAGGACTATGATTGGAAATAACAGAGACAGAAGCAATTTTCAGATCTGAGAAAGCAGGGATTCTGGAAAACCAGGGCAGGGGGAATGATGTAACAGTAAAGGTCAGGTTCATTAAAAATGAGAAAGTCAGGATCATTGAAAGACTCAAGGAAATATCTTAGGGATTAGAACCTTTGCTTGGGGAAGATGTGACCAGGGGTATGCTGGTAAATATTTAATAATTGAATGCACAATATACATTTAAGTTTAAAACATATTATTCTCATTTGATTCATCATTTTCTTAAACCTAGATAATCAATAACAATAAATCAAGCCCTGATCTGTAGTGTTTTTTTATTTTCTTTTTTAAAATTATTTATTTATTTTTTAGTTTTCAGCATTTACTTCTACAAGATTTTGAGTTCCAAATTTTCACCCCATCTCACCCCTCCCCCCACCCCAAGATGGCATGTTTAAATTTCTGAGGCATAAATGCTCTGCTAAATTTAAAAAGTGTCTCGAGGTTTGAGCTAGCTCCCTGAATTTGACCATGAAAATAGACAAATGAGAGAAATTAGAGCTCTTCAAGTCTTATTTTTTTAATCTCCCAAGAAAAATGGCCTTCACACTGGACAAGAGATTAAAAATTATCAACAAGGAGTGGTTACCCAAAATAATTGAGGACTTAATAAGAAATCATCTAGCTACTTTTTGATGAATTTGATGAATTCTAATTGCACAGCTCAGATAAACTACATTTTGGAGGTCCTGAAAGGACTAGAAACTGTGATGTTGAATACTATCAGTGATACCTGAAAGATCATGAAAAATGAGGGTGGTTATGTAGGATTGGAGAAGAACATGTGTTGACTTAATTTTGAAAAAAAAAACATGAAGAGAACAGAGTCTGCAAACTGTAAAACAGTGAGATTAATTTTGATTTCAAGAAAATTCTGGAACACATAATCAAAAAAATGGTTGCAAGAGATTAGAAAGGAAAGTGATTACAATGAGTTAGAATGGTTTCATCAAAAATTGATCATGGCAGACTAACTTCATTTCCTTTTTTGACAGGATTAGCAAACAAGACAATAAGGGGGATGTTGTAAATATAGTTTACCTAGATTTTAACAAATTTATGATTAAGTATTTCATACTATTTTTTGTGGAAAACGTGGGGAGATATGGATTAGATAATAATTCAATCAGATGCATTCAGAACTAGTTCGGTAATTGGGCTTAAAGAGAAATTGTTAATAGTTCATTGTCAACATAAGGAGCCTCTCTGTTGGAATACTACAGGTATCAGTATTTGACCCTGGGCTATTTAACATTTTTATCAATTCTATGTATGTACAGGGGTCCATCCTCACTATAATTAATCACAAAAGTGCCAGAATTCTCAATTCAGGAAATCAAAAGTAAGCTAGGTATCATTAAATCCTTTATCAATTTGAAAGAATAATAAAGGCTTTAGGTCACTGTATGAAAGCAAATAATGCCACACAAGAAATATCTTGTCAGTGGTTGAAGAGAACCAGTCTTCCCCCATGGAACTGTGGGCAAAAACAGCAAGATAATTCACAGCCAGTGAGTCAACGGGAGGTTGAATCCAGGGGTGAAGGACTTACGAGAGGGAACTGCCCTTTAGGGGAGAACAGGGGTTTCTCTCTTCCTGACTATATGCACTAGGTGACAACTTTATCAACTTTGAAAGGTAAGAATAGGCAATGGTAGCAGAGTCATCAAAACAGCAGTGGCTGATGGTTGGGTCTTTATTAGAAGCTGAGATACACACTGAGGACAAAGTAGTGAGAGGAGTATTTCTGACCATGAATTAAGATGGGTGAAATGGGTATAGCTTTATAAAGGGCAGCTAAGTGGTACCATAGTGCACAGAATGCTAGGCCTAGAGTCAAGAAGACTCATCTTCTTGAGTTCAAATCCAGCCTCAGATACTACCTATGTGACCCTAGCCAAGTCACTTAACTTTGTTTGCCTCAATTTGCTCACCTATAAAATGAGTTGGAAAAGGAAATGGCAAACCACTGCAATATCTTTGCCAAGAAAACCCCAAATGGGTTCACAAAGAATCAGACACAACTGAAATGACTGAATAAATGTATATTTTCCTGACATTGAGGAATGGCATGGCATATGGTAAAATTGGCATCAAGAAATTCTGTGTTCTAATCCTCACTCTCCTACTAAGTAGAATAATGGAATCCTATAATTAGAAGGTGCCTTAGAGGTTCAATTTAAAACCTCCTCTCCATGCATGAATTTACTTTATACCAGGAGTTCTGAACTTGCTGTATATGAACTTGTTTTTTTTTATTTAAATGTGGATAACGATACTTCCATATGTTTGGTTTCCTGTGTAATCCAATGTATTTCATTTTATACATTTAAAATATTATTTTGAGAGGAGTTCATAAGTTTTGATAGATGGCCAAAAGGGTCCATGACATACAAAGTGTTAAAAATCCCTACTCTTTCACATCCATTACAAATTATCATCTAGATATCTGAATGAATATTGACATAATGTACAGACAACCACACCCGAGTCAGAAAATATGGATTTGAGTCATTTACTATCTATGTGATCCCAGGTGAGTCATTTAACCTATCTGGGCCTTAATTGTCTCATCTGTGAAATGAGAAGGACCAATAAGAAGCTAGGAATTAAAATTCTTTGAGATCTTTAAGAGGTAGCATACTACAGCTGACTAGATTAAGCAGCTGACTCTCAGTCAGGAAGATTTGGTGAACAAACAGTATCAGCGCTTACTATGTGCTTAAGCAATATGCTAAGCACCAGGGATAAAAAGAAATATAAAAAGTAGTCCCTGCTTTCCAGAAGCTTACAGTCTAATTTATTTTTTTTAATTGACAAGCATTTATTTTCTTTCTTTCACACACACACACACACACACCCATAAAAAAGGAAAACCGAAACCTTATAATGAATATGTAGCCAAGCAAAATAAATTTTTTCCATGTTGGCCATGTCCAAAATATATATGTTGTCTTGTATTTTAAACCCATCTCCTCTTGGTCAGAAAGTGGATAGCATGGCCATTGCATTGATTAGCATTAAGACTTTCAACATGGTTTGTCTTTACAACATTGTTATTATAAAAATTGTTTTCTTTGTTCTGCTCTCTTCACTCTGTATCAGTTTCATACAAGTTTCTCAACGTTCCTCTGAATCTATCCATTTCATCATTTCTTATGGCATGATAACATTACATTCATGTGCTATAATTTGTTCAGCCATTTTCCAGTTGATGGAAACCATAGTTCTTTGTCTAGATTCAAATTCTAACTCTAAAATTCACTGGCTCTATATCCATGGACAAATTTTTATCCTCTTATAGTTTCAGTTTTCTTAGATTTTATGGGACTGTTATGAGGCCAAAAAGATAAAATGAGTTTAAAGAACTACGTGTCAATTGCAATAATTATATTTGGAGAAAATGAAGTCTTCTCTCCCAGTTGAAATTTATCTTTTTTTGTTCTCAAATATTTCTCAAGCCCCTCATATCAAGTTTTTAAGTATACATCATATTCTTCTCATTAAAATGCAGTTCCTTTAGGATAGAGACTGGATTGTTTTCCACCTTCGCATTCCTAGACTCTTGCCCCTAGTAGATGCTTAATTCATTGAATTCACTTGTAACAGCCACCTCAAAGGACTCCCCAACAGTAGGAAGGATGCTTTAGACTCAAAAACTTCTGGAATTTTGAGTTTTTAATTGTTTCCTGAGCTAAGGAAATATCATATGACTTTGGGGTGGTGATAAGACTTAAAGAGGCTTTTGGAAGGAATTTGAAAAAGACAAGTGATAGGAGAATGGGACTGGCTATTTCCCAATCAGCACTGGCAGTGGAGAGTACAAAATGTGGCAGAGAGCAATTTTAACATCAGCAGTGTCATGGTCAGTAGATGAAACAGTTTCCTCTTCTAGGCCTATGGGAAGAAGTGACAACAGTGGGGGCAAACAGAAATACATAAAGGCTGCTCTTTTTTGCTGCCACTGCTCCATGTGGTTGGAGTGCTGAAAAAACAAATGTACTATGAAGATGTGAAGTAATTTGGTTAGATACAATATGTCCTATTTCTGAGCTCCCCTCTTGAGTCTGCTAGAAACTGCACATCTTTTTAGTAAACTAGTTTCACTTTTCACAAACATCTCGGCTCATTCATATGTATTTCCTTGTGCCCTTTCATGGTTTGAAGGTGCAATGGGACATTTCTTACAGTTTTAGCCACACACAAAGATATTATCTGAGATGTTTTCTTTTAGCACTAGGCTAGGAACCTTATTCTCTAATCCACTGTTAGAGAAACTCTCTTTAACTAGGGGCTTAGGTTATGTCATTTATCTAATATTTTTACTAGTGACAAGCTTCCGAAAGCATACCTATAATGGGAAATTTGGGAGCTTTCATTCTTCAAAACTTTTTTTAGATTTAAAGTTTAGTTTAACTTTGTTGACCCACTGGCAGACCTGAGGTGGTTTAGGGAGAAAAGAATAAAAAGGAGTGGATGTGTGACTTCAGTTTCATGTCCATTCTGACCTCCTAAGCCTTGCAATATACAGTAACCCCTAGTGTTACATATTGATGAAGTCAGGGAAGGAAATGAGGAAATTGATAGAGGAGTTGAAAGGAATTTGTTCAGCCTCAAAGTTCCATCCTCAAAACTGGAAAATAAAAGTTGACAGTATTATTTCTTGCCCCAGAAAATTGATCCTTCCCAATATACTCCACACCAACAAGCCAAACCCCTCCTTTCCCACTTCCCTTATAGACCATGACACTTATGGATCAGCATGTGGGATCCCTGCCCTCTGCAACTGCCTCCTCAAAGCATCCTTGATCTCCTTATTGCGTAGACTATAGATGAAGGGGTTAAGGAAGGGTGTGAGTATGGAGTAGACAACAGCCAGTGCTCGATCATAATCAAGTGAGTAACTCTTCTTCAGTCTCACATACATGAAGAGGATACCCCCAAAGAAGATGAGGACCACAGCAAGGTGGGAGGCACAAGTGGAAAATGCTTTCTTCTTGCCCTCAGCTGAAGGTATTCTGAGGACAGTTAGGATAATCTGAACATAGGAGGTGAGGATCAATAGGAAGGTTACTAAGATCTTGCAGGAGTTGATTATAAAGTCCACCAGGATGTTGATGGAGGTGTCTGTGCAAGCCAGACTTAATATGGGGGGAAAGTCACAAAAGATATGCTGAATGCAATTGGGGCCACAGAAGGGGAGCTGAGAAACCAAGGAGATTTCAATTATTGGCCCTGCCAAGCCACCCAGCCAGCAACCTGCAGCCATCTTGGTACAGAGTGCTGGAGTCATAAGGGTAGGATATTGGAGGGGCTGGCAGATGGCCAGATATCTGTCATAAGCCATGGCTGTGAGAAGGTAGCACTCAGAAGCTCCAAAAGAGTGAAAAAAGTAGATCTGAAGGAGACAGCCAGAAAATGAGATAGTCTTCTTTTTGCTGAGAAGGTTAGCAAGCATCTTAGGGATGGTAGTAGCTGTGTATCCAAGCTCAAGGAGAGAAAGGACACTAATAAATTGGTACATTGGTGTGTGGAGCTTAACATCCAATCTGACCACCAGAAAGATCAATAAGTTTCCCAGGATGGTGATAAGGTAGATGAGAAGCAGTAGGAAAAAGAGGTAAGTCTGGACACCCTGAAGCTGTGGAAAGCCCAAGATGATAAACTCTGTCACCTTGCTCCAATTTCCAGTGTCCATTTCTTTCTGATCATGATCCTAAGAAGGCACAAAGAAAGACAGGTGAGATATAGCAACCTGAGTGGAAGGGACAACCCTCCAGTTTCCTTCGTCTTTTGCTAGTTCATATAATTTTTTCTGATTGTGTTAGTTATTCTTTCCAATAGAATACAACTTCTTGAGTGTAGAGACAGTTTTCATTTCTGTCTTTGTATCCCCAGAACCTAGTCTGGTATGTAGTTGGAAACTATAATAAATGTTTATTAAATTGAATTGAATCTTTATCCTCCTATCCTCTAAGAGTTTTCTGAACCTGACTTTGCTTTTCTTCCTGCCCACACCAGGTGGGTGGGCTTCCCAAATCTTCCCTGGTTTTAGGTTGAGATCTAACCAGACAGGAGTTGAAGAGAAACCAGCTCTGCTACTTTCTGTCTGTGGGACATTATTCAAGTCACTAAACCTTTCTGGATATCAATTTCCTCAGGCATAAAAATGAAAGGGTTGGACTAGACAATTTTCTCAGGTCCCTTTTTTCTCTGAATCTATGACTCATAAAAATGAGGTTGGTTGACGAATACCTATGTATTTTGGCCACAGTGTAGGGACATCTCAAGTAAATACTGGGATGTCTCGCATGGTAAAATTTCATTCACCCCTAAAGCCTTCAAATAGCAAAACAAATCTGTAGTGACCAGAAGTGATTTCATCTCTCTGAGTCCTTTAAAGTTAACTTTTTTTTTAAGGTAATTGGGGTTAAGTGACTTGCCCAGGATCACACAGCTAGTAAGTGTGTCAAGTGTTTGGTCTAAGGCCAGATTTGAACTCAGGTCCTTCTGACTCTAGGGCTGGTGCTCTATCTACTGCGCCACCTAGCTGCCCCTAAAGTTAACTTCTAAGCACTCCAGAAGCAGCTAAGAATTTAAGGAGTCCAGAACAGGCTAATCTAGACCGGTGCTTCTTAAACTTTTTCCACACATGACCCACACATGCCTGAGAAATTTTTATCTGACTCTAGGTATATAGATATGTAAAATAGGCATACAAATCAAACATCTATTGATAAAAAAATAATAAAGAAATGTATTTTAAAATAATTCTTTGAAATACATATAATTTTACCATTTATTAAAGATGAAAGCAAATTTGCATACTAATAAAATGAATGTGCTTGCTTATTTTTATGTAAAGAATTAAATTTTGGTGGAATATTTGATACTGCAGGATGTAGACCATCTTTTTCAGTGTTGATTGATGTTTTGATTTTATAATCGTCAATGCTGAGAATGCCATTTTGCATAAACATGTAGTACAAAATGGCAGAAATACGTTTAGAGCCATTTCAAAAATGGTTGGAAATTCTATCCTAATCACAAGCCAAAATTCATTTAATGATTTTTTAGGAAACTCTAGTTTTAAACCTGTGTCTCTTGATAACTTGGCAAATTCTTCCTGAACTTTTAATGTCAGATGACTAACATTTTTTTTTATTTCAATTGAGTATAGTTGATGCACTCAACTTAGCTTTTAGAATCAAAATTTGAAGGGAAGTATTTCTGAAACTGTGTCTCCAGGCACTTCAGATGATCAATTATAACTCTTACAATTAAATATTTGGGAAGGTTATTTTCAATTATAAAATCATCTGTAGCTGTAAACATTTCTAAAGAACCATTTTCTACTCTATTCTTCCATATGTTAACATTTTTTAGTAAAACTTTCAACTTTATCTTTTAACGTAAATGTTACAATTTTTCCTTGAAGCAACATGTTTGAATCACTGAGTTTTTCATATATATCTAATGAATAACACAGTTTTGAAAGCCATAAGTCATTATGAAAAAAATTAGCAAAATTGGATTTCTGCTCCATCAAAAATATAATGTCATATTTCAATTTCAATAATCTGTTTAAACTTCAGAGCCCCATGAGTCTATATATATATCTATATATATATCTATATATATATATCTATATATATAGATATATATACACACACATATATATAGTCAATTTAGGTGTACTACAACCTGATAGTGAAGACTGATGCATTGTCATCAGCATTTTTACCTTTTCTGTCTAAATTTTGTCACTTATCCATACAAGTAACATCCATCCAACAAATACTTTTATCCTAACATATAAATAAATATTGCTAATAATTTCTCAAATAAATACTAGCTTTAGTTTATGGAATTACATTTATTTGTGCTTGATTTTAAAAATTGATGTTCACACTTACATATACATTCAGTGGTGATGATGGAGAAATATTACTAAAGGGCTTTTGTCTTTACTTGTTGCAATTAAACACTTATATTTCTGTAAAAGAAGGAGATAACAGCAATTTTTAAAATCAAACATTTTAACACAATACAATCCAAAGATATACTAATTTGATACTTGCATGCTGAGGAATGATGCTAGGAAAATATAAAGTCTTTATTTTCCATAATTAAACTATTATGTTTCTGTAAGAGCAGAAAACTTTGTATGTACAGTAAAAACACCGCAATTCATAACATAAAATAGTCTCGAATCTAAACTGACATGTTTCTGGCAGTTTTTATTGGAGTTTTGTGGCATGATCACATGCATAGTGCAAAGTGCGCATGTTGTGTGCTCAGAACCAAGGCTTCAATGAAGTCGTGAATGAAGTCCATACAGGAGAGCACTGCCAGAAGCACCTCAGATTCATTACACTTTTGATTTTGAATTAATTTTTGGTCATTGAGTTTTCAGAAACCTTTAACTGTCACCAAATTTTTCACAAATGCCACATTCATTTACATGACCCCATACAGGGTTGCAACTCACAGGTTAGGAAGTGCTGATCTAGATCCCAAACCAAAAATATCTGATAGAATCAAAGTAGTTTCAGAAAGGAAAGAAGCTGATTATTGCATACTTTTGACATCCTTGTCCCTTTCAGAAGTTAAAGGTAGCCAGTAGCCTCATATTGGCCCCAAATATTCAAGGCTCAAAGAGACACCTTCCCTAAATATTGTCTAAAACCTTTCCTGATGCTTACCAACTCCATAGTCTTGTCAAAACAAATCCTATCTTTTCTGTCCATTCTATTCCATTAGGACCCTGTTCTCTATGGTGACAACTAGCTAATCTTCCAAATTAATCCATGTTTCTATATTAATGAGTGAAGGCTGTCTACCCCTAAGTAATATGTAGGTATTTTGACTGTGCCTGTTCAGAATATCACAAATCTAGTTCTGGAAGAGACTCAACTACAGAGATTCGTCTAGTCCAAACCCTTCATTTTACAGATGAGAAAACTGAGATCCAGGGAGGATAAGCATTTTGTCCAAGGTCATACAGGAAGTATCAGAGGAGAGATTTGACCTTATTTCTTCTGACTCTAGAACCCATGCTCTTTCCACTGTATCTTCTCCTACACAATACTCTTGCTTTTATCATATAGCTCAGAAAAGTGACACAAAAATTTAGAATTTCCAGCTAGGCACAAAAAGAAAATAATGAGGAAAGGTTTTTGTTTTGTTTTCTTTTTCTAGCAAGTGCTTACATTGCCTCTTAAATCATACTAGTGCAGTATCCTTTTCTGACTCTGTGTCATGCCAGCTTTAGGGGAAAGGACAGAGGCTGAGAAAATGAAGACTTAAAAATGGACAAAAATATAAGCTGTCTCCTACCAAAAATAACTCACCTAAGAAGCAAGACAAAGAATGATAATCTAAGAATCACTGGACTACCTGGAAACCTTGACCAGAAAGGAACCTAGATTCCATATTTCAAGAAATCATGAGTGAAAACTTCCCAAACTTATTAGAACCAGAGGGAAGAGAGAGAGTAAAATGATTTAACTGATAACCTCCTAAAGGAAGTCTCAAAATTAAAACTTCTGGAAATGTCATAGCCAAAATCCAGAGCTTCCACAGCATCCAGAAAGAAAGAATTTAAGTACAGAGGAATCACACTCAAGATCACATAACTGGAAAATACTATAAAAAAAGAAAAGAACCTGAAATGAATTATTCTACAAAGCAAAAGGGTTACAACCAATAAAACTTACCTGGCAAAAATAAGTATAATCTTAGGAAGGGAAGCTGGAGGGGGGGGGTATATCTTTAAAAAAATAGAGGACTTTTACAAATCCTGATGAAAAGACCAGAGCTGAGTTTCAACTTTGAAATACATATATGGGAGTCAAGAGAAACATAGCAAGACAAGTACATTTGACAATTATATGGGATCAAATGGTGATGAAGGGCTTAAGTTCTAATAAAGAGAAAAGAAATATGTATCCTTTCAGAAATCTAATGTCTTTAAGAGTCATAGAGTGAGCAATTACATCAGAGGTTCTGGGAGTATTATATTTTCTTCCTATTTTCATGATCTTAAAAGAAGAAAGAAAACAGAAGGAAAAATAAATATATTATAGAAGAGGGTGCAACTCACATAATTGGGGATACATGAGAAAAAGGCTATACAAACCCAGAAGAAGGAGTCAGAGTAGTCTGCACTTGAACTTTATTTGCATCTAAATGGGACAGAAGAGGGTTAAACAGACACACACAGGTAAATAGAGACTTTATTTATTTTTGGTGAGGCAGTTGGGGTCAAATGACTTGCCCAGGGTCACACAGCTAGTAAGTGTCAAGTGTCTGAGGTCGGATTTGAACTCAGGTCCTTCTGACTCCAAGGTCAGAGCTCTATCCACTGCACTACCTAGCTGCCCCTTAAATAAAGACTTTATGTAGAAATGTATTAAACTTAACAGAGAAGCAGGTGGGAATGGGGAGAGGGGAATAGAGTTAAGAAGATTAACCATAAGCAAAACAAACTTCAACTTTGGAGAGTAGATTGTTAAAGGGGGAGGGGAGGGGGGATAAAAGTCAAGAATGAAAGTATAAGAACCTATGATCACAGACTGGGCAAAAGAAGAGAAATACTAAACATATCCTTACCGACCAAAATGAAATAAAATTGTATTCAATAATAGACCTTTGAAGAAAAGATTAAAATGAATTGGAGATTAAATAACTAAATCC